ACCTGCATTTCAGACTATGGAGCAGGAACCTAGGGCCGTGGGAGACTTTCTTGACGGTGTCGATCGCCTCGAAATCATGACGGTACGAAGCGAGGCGACCGATTGGTTCAATCATCTTGAAGAATGGGGAATTGATAACGATCCTGCAGTTCTTTACCAGATCATGATGAGCTACCCAGATTGTGATCCAGAGACTTTTGTCAGAGAGAGTGCGTGCTGGGCGCATGATCCGAGCGACCAGCCGTCGGGTCGATCAACTCCAGATAGCACTCTTACAAAGTCAGTTGAGGCAGTATACCATAGAGGAGATGCAATCGCATTTGCTGGGGATGAAATGGAGGGAAGGAAACGCATTCTGGATCAACTTTTAGAAGACGAAAGCGAGGTTAACGATGAGGAAGTTGAGAAGCTATCCAGACGGGATGTGACGCCGGCGTTTGGATTCTGGCTATTCCCCTTGGACGTCCTACCTCCGATAAACTTTACAGCCAACTCAGAGGCGCGGATCGGAGAATTTTACACAGAACTACAGCAACAGTTCGAAAAGCATACTCCGCAACTATGTTTGTCTCTCCTAACGGACTACAATCCTGAGGTCCTCGATACCCATGAGCGTACTGAGAAAGATTGAGTCGACAGCACTGGAGATAGAAGAGGCTGTCGATAACATGAAATTTTCGAATACACTGTAGATCGAAGGAGCCTCTGAGTATCCCGCTTATCAAAATGCATGCATGTATGCTGGATGACAGAAGATAGTCAGATTCAAATACACGATTCTGTACACTTTGCAAAGACCCCACCACCATGCTGCCCTAGAAGACAAAAAGTCCTTTCACTGCCTTCACCAAGTTCTGGGCTAAGAGCTTGTGGATGGCACCGCTGGCATGGTAGTCATCTGCCCAAAGACAGTTACTTGCGCCAAAGCAAGTAGCATCTTTAGCCCCGTAAGCCGCGTAATTATCAACAACCTGGTTGAACGATGGCTTTGTATCGAAGACCTGAATTTTGATACTCGGATGAGAGGATGTGAAGCTAGCTGCCTTGGCTTTGACTGCGTTGTTGTAGGAAATGATGTCGGATCTTAGGCGAGCCAGATCAACTTCCGGTTGGCCTATCATCTTGGGGAACTGATCTGCGTATGCTTCATCAAGAGTTAGACAACCTCATGATACTTTTCGAATGGTCGGGGCTTACCAGGTATACTCAGCAAGACGAACTTGCTGTAGCCGTCACTGACAAGAACCTGTAGGAGCTCAAAATATCTGTTCACGCATTCGGTCACAAGAGCACTCTTCTTGCTCCAAAACGCCTCTCCTACATCGTTGATACCAATCCAGAATGCGACGAGCGTATCAGCTTTTGTAATCTTTGGCGCAACATATTGCTTATAGAGGTCCACCTGCTCAGACATCGAGTACTGGGCCCACGAGTTGACGATCTTCTTGTCGACAGTCGCTCCGCTGTAAGCAAAGTCGTATGTGAGGATTAACGATGTGTTAAGAGTTGACGTGACGTGGCCGACCCAGTTGAGTCCAGCAGAAGTCGTCTGCCCTGGCAGTCCGGGGTTCCCGATGGGGTTGGAAGCCGATGGCAATTGTCCTCCAGGCCAGAATCCCACGGTCGAGTATGAATCACCACTACTGTCAATTAGACAGAATCTACTCGTTCTGATGGCATTACGTACAAAACAAATAGGTTTTTGGTAGTCTGGGCGGCCATCGACGCAACTGGACTAGCAAGAGCTCCAGACAGGCCAGCTACCAGAAGAAGACTTTGATCGAATAGCTTCATCTCAAGGAACAAGAGTGGCAACCTCTTTATGAAAAAAACATTCTCCAAACATCCAAGATCAGAGTGAATTAATTGTAATTTATATCTTGATTCACTCGGGGCAAAATACCTCCACTTCAGATACATTAACCGGATGCCGTATATCGGAATGCAAGGTCCGATTGGTGGGATATCTCACCATGCGAGATGCTCAGAATCCCCTCACATGTATGCGATTCTGTCTGATCGCCGCCGAATTCCTTGATAAGCTGGCGAAGCTACTACAGGACGCCGGGTTGTGTTTTGGGAGACAGATATATGCATTTCTGCGTGGCATGGTGAACGAGAATGCCGACTTCGACAGTGGTTATTCGGATCAAGAACCTAGCGTTATCGAACTTCACTAAGCACAGACGCCAACCCAGAGACTTATATGAACGTGGCATTGGATATGCTGGGAAGTCTAAGTTCCAAACTTGGTCGCCAGGTTGTCGTCATCTACCTAGGCCAAGTTGACTTTATCAACATACCTCATGTAAGTCAACCCTTTTGGCTGGGAATTACTGAAAGTTAACTTACAGAGGACGTAATATCCTACAGTGAATAAGGAAGACACGAAGATGATGCAAGTCAATGTCCTAGTGAGGGTTTTTGTCTCTGAGCTCCTTATCTACTGCTCAATGAACGACCGCTTCATCGTATCTGATCACATGATGAGGAAACGTGTAAGCAACCAAAAAAGGTGTCTGCAGGAGCAATCTGCCTTTGGCGTGAGGTTAGGGCTTACACTGAGCAGATCTTGGCGCTTGTGTAAGACAATGAGACAGGAGGAATTGGGAGTAGCACTACATCCTTCGTTCTTTTCTCAAACTGGTGTGGTGATTCCACTAAATTATTTCAGAAGTTAGACTCACTATTTGGTATCACTAGCGTATCAAATCGGGCTCCCTGACAAATCCGAAGGAGTTCGAGGGAGCGTAATCGCTTACGCTCTAAATTCTGACCACAGTCATCTTTCGCAGAACAACATGTCCTAGTGTAATACGCTGCTTATCGTGGGGACAGAATGAAGCTAGAATAGGTAGGTGGTGTCGCATGCGCCCTTTCTTGTCACATCCAGACTGGCAGGGGTCTGTATAAGTAATAAGCATTGCACACGGTATTTCAACGCTCAAAGTTTCTCCATCATATACTGGAATTCTTAACAAAAAATGCCCGCCATGGCTGCCAAACGGCCGGGACTCATGCAAATCTCGGTCTCCCGAAGTGCCGACGAGCAGCGGTTGATCCCTGCATATCGCAGCAATCTTGCTCGTCGCGCCAAAGAGCTTGGGACTTTTCGTAAGCATCTCTACGCCGATGCTAAAGGTGGTGTATTATCATTTGGAATTATGGAGCGTATCTCACCGCATGCTGTTGCGGTGTCAGGACCTCTGTTCTCACGACTCGAGCAGCTTCATCTCCTCCTTGGTCGTGTTTTTGTCGATATCGTGGACCGGTGGTTTACAGACGAGAAAGCACGCTTTCCGGACCGTATGCCGTTGGATCCATCGGAAGAGGAGCTTCTCAGATGGGTATCATCCAGTTGTTGCGTTCCCGACTACGCCGAACATGCTGGTTGTTGGCGAAGTGACTTGCTATTTGGTCGCAGTCCAGATGGCTTACGTGATGAGTCACCGTATGTATGCGAAATTAATGGAAGGCTGCCTCTAAATGCCGTAATGGGAATTGCCCTGAGTGAGAATGGCCTTCGGGAACTTGGTGCGAGCAACGGAGGACTTGAGCCTGTGAACAGTATTGATGTGAGTATCACAACGATCTTCTACGCCCTAACTTAAACTGACACTCTGTCAAAACCTAGGCTTCTTATAACAGCCTCATGGCAATGTTCAACCCCGAAAAGCCACTTTTCTCCATCAGAGATAAGTGGCCTGGCGCTGACTCGAAGATCCTCTCAGCTGTCAATGTTGCGCGTGGAAGGCCTCCGGTTGAGGCAGTTCGTCCTCAAGACCTGGAAGTTCGCCCTCATGAAACTTCCCCAACTGGGTTTGCTCTCTGGGATAAGGCCACGGACAGACTCTTGGAACAGTGGTTTGTTGAGATGCTACAGGAAGAGTATGCCGACCTGGAACCAGCTGTCGCTCGCCAACTGTCCTTGACTCCTCTCAATGATCTTCGAACTGTATTCATCGTGCATGACAAGCGACTCCTTGGCATCATACCTGAAGAACTTCCGAAGATGGTTTCACGTGGTGTTTTGACTGCCGAAGAGGCCGCAATCGTTGCTGATGGGATCATCCAAACAATTAACCCGGGTTCAGAAGGACTTCAAAATCTGCTACGAGAGTCAAAGTCAGACCCAAACATCAGGAACAACTACATATACAAGCCTTGCCGGGATGGCATGGGCCACGGTATAGAACTGGGCAAGAACCTTACGCAGGAAGCCTGGCTCGAACGATTAGAGAAGCTTGCAAACCCAGATGTTCTCCGGCCTCATGACGATGCAGCTGTCATCCAAAGGCTGGTAGACCACAACTGGTATGACGTTGTTCGTCACGAGGTCTCAACAGATGATGGACCGAAGCCCAACAAGTTCCATCTCATCGGATCCATGTTCATGTTCCAAAATCGCAAGTTCTATCCGGCTACTTGGCGGATGGGCCTTGAGACCCATCTTGGGATCACTTCCGATAAGCCTGGACTGGTCATGGCGATGGTGCATCAGCCCGACTGGCCAATTGGGGAGGACCAAGAGGAAGAGCTATGACTTTCGGTGATAGAGTGATGGGCCTATAAGCGTACTATAATAGAGAGCTTGAATTGACCGATATCTTGTGGCATCAACTGCGAACGTATATTGAGGACCTGAAAATGTTACATCGTTCACCGTTACAGTCAAGCTCTCTATTGTTTGAAGATTGCCGACTAAGATGCAGGAGGTAACAAGCTTTTTCACTGGGGATGAACTAGGCCTGTTTCCGAGCGGTGCCTGACACTAGACGGGGTGTTGTAGCCTGGCAGCCAATTATTGCTGGGCATAAAGTTTCTCCTCGGCGCGCTATCGCAGACTATTGATTTCGGGGATATGAGATTTTCGTCATCAACACCACGTAACGATATCCCTATAGCCATTTCCTTTAATCCTTCCTGCGTTCTTTCGCTTTATGTTTTCTTATTCGTCACTCGCCTCAGTCAATCGTTTGCGAGTTCTCATCGTGCCCAGAATGCGATCTAAGATCTTACTGCTAGCCATTGGCCTTCTTGTCGCAGACTCTGCGCTAGCAGGTCCTTGCAAGCCCAGGTCCTCCAGTAAGTCGACAAAGAGAGAATGTTGAACATAAGGCTGGAAAATGGCTAACCGTGATTTTCTTTCCAGCTTCGGGGACTAGAACCTCAACCTCAGTCGCTTCTACAACCGCCGAGGTATCGTCCACTATTTCAGTATCCGAAACCTCCATCGAGACTGGAACGACCATCACAACCGCGCCAGACACTACTACAGCACCCGAAGTAGAGACAACAACCGTAGCCGAGATTACCACCACAACGGCTGAGGCTGAGACAACAACCGCTGCGGAATCTACCACTACGACCGCCGAGGCTGAGAGCACGACCACCACCGCCGTAGCCACCCCAACATTCACTATTGTCGGCGGCGGCGGCGCTATACAAGGCGCTCCCCTGAAAGGGACCGACCAAGATGGCAGTATCCTGTTGTTCAACCCCCAAGCCGGTACCAGCCGCACCAGAACGATCATACTCGACCCCAACACAGGCCGACTGCGAGATAAAGATACTGGAATACTCTTGTGTGCTTATTACGGCTCTGCCAACTCTCCCGACGACCCTGCCAACATTGCCTTTTGCCAGAATGGCAACACAGGACTCAACAAAGCCTACGAATATATGACCTGCCAAATCGCCAGCAGCAAGCTTACTTGTACAGCCCCGAAAGGCCAGTGCCCGACTGACGATGACGGAAACTTCCTAGGCTGCACTACGGAAAGTTTTAGCGGCGAGAACAATCAGTTCTACTACAAGGCCCAGCCAGGCGCTGGTGATTACTTTTTCATCTCTAGCGGAAGTCCTGCTGGTTACACAGCTGTCGATATCATTGCCCAAGAAGCATGAAGACGGTCATAACATTCGATTCATACCCGTACTTGCAATACCTTAGAGCTGTATACATCTTGTCTTATCCCTAAAAATAACTGCCGACCTTTAAAGGATCTTGCGCTGTGATATTCCTCTTCCTAGACCAACTGTATATCATCTATATCAGTGCGCCCGAACTCATCCCAGCCAGTAAAACGATCATATCCTTCCCCATACATCACTCCATGAACATATGCCTCTCCAACAACACGATACTTAGAACCTTCGATATGGTGTAGAATGAAAGGCACTCGGGCCCCCATCAAGATCCATACTTCATCCTTGCTGCTACTCTGTCCGAGAGTCTTGGGTCCTAGGCCAAGCAGTCCCGATTCCGTCATGAAGAGTTTTCGACCCTGAGTAGCATTCCGCATGTGCTTTTCGAAGTTGCGTAACTTTCTCCGTCCCAGTGGAGTTAGTCGTTGCATCGAAGGTCGCTTATACTTGCCCCCCAAAGGGTCCTCGTCTTGTTCGTCTTCTTCCATCGCAGGAGCTCGAAAACCTTTGCTGATGAGCCGTGCTGGGGGTAAAAAGCCTGTTTCCCATGAAGCGGTGCCTCCTACCTGAGACTTTCTGTCATTTCCTCCTTTCTCAGATGATTCCGCTTCTCCTTTTCCATGCTTACTCTGCTCTTCTTTCTTTGCTTCTTGTGCTAGCCTGTAGCTTTGATCTTGAACTTCCTCTTCATCCTCTCTATTGTTGTCAGGCTTTTCTGCCTCCTTTGCTATCTTTTCCCTGAAATTAAATATAGCTGCTTCGAGATCTGGCACCTGCAGTTCATCGGACAGCTGCCGTGCGTCATACATGGCCGACCAGAGAGCCAAGCGAGTGGCGAACGACTTCTGAATCAGTTCCCATGCCCACGATTCCGAGCAAAGTCCTGACCACTCAGCAAGCAAGTCGCGAGCTTCTAGAATATCAGTCAAGATCCAGTTGCTGAAACCCGTCCCTATGTTCACTCTTGAGTCCAAACTCCCGAAGTCGTTGTCCTCCTCGGTCAGTTTATCAATGATCAGAGTGCGCCACAGGGCTTCAACCCGGGTCACCGCTTGTAATGGGCGGATGAATCGTCTCGAGCGATTAACGCCAGTATTCTCGACACGCCATGCTCTGACTTGAACAGGATATTCGGCTGGACTATGCAATGCCAGTCGCAGAGCTTGGACAACTGGATCTTGATTAAGCTCTGTGGACATGGATACAGTATCCACCTTGATACCCTTGACGCTTAGCTTATTATCGGGGTCAATATGGATTATCCAGTCGTCGTAGTCAATATTGTCGTGCGTTCCAGCGCAGAAACGATCGTCATGCCCACCTTGATCGAAAGGAACCCTTCCTAGCCTGGCGCTAAAGTCGGGCACCCAGCTTGGAAGGCCTTGAATCCTTGTGTCGGAAAAGTCTTGCACATGAGATAGAACCGCAAGGTGCGATCCAATTCGCTTGTCAATCATTGTCTTTGTTGCTTGGATAAAGACCTCTTTGACGTCGGCACTGTAGTCTGGTTGTAGTCCGAGACCGTCCTCAGCAAGGTTCAGAAAGGCGAAGATCTTGTCTCGAGGATCTGTAGCCTCGAGCTCCCGGAAGTCGGAAAGGACCGAAAGTAAGTGCAGCTTTCGGCGTTCAAATCTGAAGCCAGTTGTACCCAGCTCCTCACAGAAAGATTCCACTATATCGTGATCGATGAGGTGGGTAACTTGGGGAAGTTCTATGGCCCATCGACATGATTTGTCCTTGGTTTTCCCGTCTTCCCCTTCTTCGTCTGGAAGCAGGGTGACCATGGGTAGGCCAGCATTGCAGAGCCCAAGACGCGAGCGAGTATGATGATATCCTATGATAAAAGACAGAGCATCGCGCGGAGTGACCTTTAACTCGTTAGCCGCCCTCGCTGGCTGTCCTGAGAGCAACGACAATTTCTCCCAGTGTTGAGACTGGTCTGACACAGCTCCATTAGTGAGGAAACTGTGCCCAAACTGGCATAACTCAATATCGATTCCCGTCTGTTCCAGAAATCCAGCAACTGCTAAGATGAAGTCCATGCTTTGCAGTGTCGCGCCGCAAACCATCAAGATATCCCGAGCAAAAACAGCCTCCTGAACGACCCAAGCCCTTCGGAACCAGAGCCTTTGGAAAAGGGAAAAGAGGGCGAACCAGTGTACCACTGTCATCCCTGGTACTGAAGACATGGTGACTTCCTCTTGTTCTTGGTATGATGAGTCTTGTGCATGAAGACGAATTGCGTCGAAATCAAGAACTCTCCCCATTGCCTGTATCGCTAGTTCTGCAAGTCTGTCATGTTCGCCAACCCAGGCAAGTACGAGGCTCGCTGACTTGTATAGGTGCCCCATAAGCTTGACTTGGGCAGCTCGTTCATCGAGGTCTGCCTGGTTGATGCATAGTGCATCAGCCCAGATGGGCAGGTCGATGGAGCGGTAAGTCGAGCTCTCCGGCTCTCCTGGAACTGGAGCGGTTGCAACTCGAAGTTTCAATATTGATTGGAAGAACGATAAGAGGTTTTCCTCAATTGGTACTCGGCTCCCATCGACCTCTATTTCATGATGAGTGCGCTTTTGCCAAAGCACCTCTTCACGAGGGACATAACGATGCATATCGTAGTACAGAAGCTTGGCCCGGTCAACCATCACCAGTTTGTCGCCATCGGGTCCCAGTTGCGGGCTGTAATAGGTGAAAGGAAGTTTATCGGCGTGTTCTGCGAATTCCAAGCCATCGATATTGGGCATGGGGTCTTCGTGAACTGTAGTAGGGTTGCCCCATGTGTATGAGACGGCGGCGAATTCGAGATTCTCATCATTTAGGTCTACTACTCGCATGGAGCAACGAACAATGCCGTCTCTGGACTCGATAATATCCAAGAGACGGATGGAGGTTGAAGTTGTGAGGACGTGTGACTTGTACATGTTGACGATATATGTTTGTAATGCTGGATTGGCTACGGGTATTCGAAAAACAGCATGAATAGCAGCATTCAAATGTACACATTTACATCGTTTTTGTGTCTCCAAGGCTGATTCACGTTGGAGGAGGCATTATCGAGGTGTGAAGATCACCACGGAATGAAGTCCGCCCTGTTGCATAGCCGCCGTGGCTGATGCAGTTTCAGGGAAGATGACCATTCAAAGAGCGCTGCCAAGTCTCAAGCGCTTCACCAGTCACATCGGCAATTGGACATTCTCATTGGAATGACCAGGGGGTTTTCAGCTTTATACCAGGGTTAGCCAGACTTCACTTCTCAACACTCAGCCTAGCACTCTGCCCCATCCGCTTCTAAGGCTATATTGAAGGCCTCCCAAAGTTTTATTTTCAAAGGATTTTGTGTTTCCCTGTCAAAACAGCTGCAGAATGAGGTTTCGTGTCCCTGGTCTGGTGCGACGACGTTTTAGCCTTGGTCATCGCCTGCGCTAACACCCACTGTAAATACACTTGACTGAACCACTACGCAGCCTATGGATTTTCGCCCGCCAGAGGCAATCAACCCAAGGCATCCAAACCACGAGATCAGTAACTGACAATGGTTTTTTGTGTCGCGCGTTTGATTCTCAATGGGATTTACCACTTTCTTCAATTACTGGCCGTTTACATCATTTACATGGTCTTGAAATTTTGAACGGCGCCTAACTCGAAAGCCGACACCTTTGCTGAGCCTTCTCTGATAGAAAAACTGTTAACGCCGTATCAAGGGGGCCCCCATACATTGCTTGGATCTATCCAGGCTTACGCGAGCTATCTGTTTTCTATAACTGGTGATCCCGACACCAGTTTGGTGAGCGCTGATACTGAGCTCTTTGGGCATGCTATTCTTGAGTCTTAAGCCTACCTCAGACGACTGCTCGTTGATGTTGTCTTGTCAAGCTTTTGCAACAATCCCTATTGAGGTCAAACAAAAACGTCCAAAGGCGGTAAACCAGGACCCAGACATTCACGGCAACCGCGTGTTCTCCAACATCACCACGATTTGACCTCCAAAAAGACAAGTCTTTTATCAAGATCGGCAAAAACATACAACAGCGGGGATTCGCTGGTCGTCACCGACCCAACTACTAATCCGCCCCTTACCAGCTTATCTATGGGAGAGCGGACGGGATCCCGTATTTTCCACTACCTATGGTCG